ATAGCAAAATACCATAGACCAGGTAGCTGAAAAATGTACTTAGATCTCACAGTTTTAGAGGCCGGCTGCTTCCTAGTGAGGGTCCTCTTTGTGACTTGCAGATGGCTGCCTTTTTGTGTGTCTCTGCATGAGTTCTCCATGCTTTGTTCTCTTCTTTTCCCTTCTCGCCTTTCCTCTCCCCCTTCTGCCACATTTGCTCCTCCATCACCTCCTCTTCTTCATCATAATCTTCCTCTTAATCTTCCTTCTTCTGCCACAGATTCCACAGTGAGAGCCTTACCAGAGGGTTGACTCCTTCAGTTTGCAAAGCTTCATCTCCAAATACCACCACCTGGGAGATAGGGCTTCAGGATGTGAATTTTGAGGGTGCAAAATTCAGTCTGAATCATGGACCCGAACATTTATTGAAATAACCTAGGAAAGTAGCAGTCAACAAGACAAAGTCCCTGTTTACATTCATTTAGTAGAAAAAAATAAATTAGTATTTATACACATGGCAATCCCCCTCTCATTGTGTAGCACATGTCCATAACTTATGACTATGTCATATTACTTAGCAAAAGGGAATTAATTTGGTTTACTAAACAGCTGATCTTCATGTGGATAGACGAACGTGAGAAGGCCACATGTCATCACTAGGACCCATAGACATGGAAGAGGAGGGCAGAAAGGACCATGGTACCACAAGGGAGCTTGACTTTTCATTGCTGGCTTTGAAAAGGAGAAAGAGACCAGAAGGAATGTAGTCTGCGTCCAAGAAGCTGGCATAAACAAGAAGACAGACTTCTTCCTTGAGAGTTCAAAAAGGAATGAAGCTCCACTGACCTGGTGATTTTAGCCCCACCAACCTCTAGAGCTACAAAGCATTTACATTGTTTTAAGCCCACTAAGTTTGTGGCATTTTCTTTGAAGTCATAGAAAACTAATATGGGCAGGGAACAAAATAAAATATTTAGTGTGTCTGATGACAGTTCATTGATGGAGAAAATTGGAGCAAGGAATGTGGGTAGGGAGTGTCAGGAGGAGGTGACTGTGCTTTTAAATGGGGTTGAAAGGGAAAGACTCTGAGCCTAGAGCTGGAGGGGAAACGTAGTACCTGAGCCATGAAGTGGCTAAGTAATCTGGAAGACTATTCCAGGCAGAGGGCACAGCAAGTACCAAGGCTCTGGGGCAGAGCTTCCCAAGCATTTCTGTGAGTCGAGAAGGGCTTGTGGTGGTTTGAATGAGAATGTCCCCCATAGGCTCCAAGTATTTGGACATTTTGTCCCCAGTTGGTGGTGCTGTATTGGGAGGGTGTAGGAGGTACAACCATGCTCTAGGAAGCATATCACTGGGGGTGGGCTTAGAGAACCCTTAAGCTTTGCTGGATCTCCTGTCCCTCTGCTTCCTGTGCCTGCTGGAAGATGTGATCGCTTGGCTTTCTGCTCTGGCCGCCTCTGCTGCCTCCTCTGCCATCATGGACTCCAATCCCTCTGAGATCATAGCCAAATAAAATTTTCCTTCTAAAAGTGCCCTTGGTCACGATGTCTTATCAGAACAACAGAAAAGTGACCAATACAGAAGATGACACCGGAGAGTGGGTTGTTGTGAGGAACCTGACCGTGGTGGGTTTGAGAGGAATTTGGAAGACTTTGGAAGTTTGAGCTAGAAAAACTATTGAATGCTGTAAGCAGAGCTTAACAGGCTGTTCTAGAAGGAGCCTGGAAGAAAGTAGTACTGAGAACAGAGTAGTTCCAGAGAGAGACAAGGACATAAGCAGCAAATGGTATATTTTGGCAAAGCATCTGGCCGCCGTCTGCCCATAGCCGCAGAGTTTACCTATAGCTAAGTTGAAAAGTAATGGACTAATTTCTTTGGCAGAGGAAATTTTAAGACAGCCTAACACTGAATGGTGGTGTGGCTATTAATGGTGAATATTATACAGATCTACAGTGAACAAAAAGCAAGCGAGGCAGAAAGAAATACAGAATGTAGCTTCAATGACAAAAGAGCCTAGGAAGATTAACAACCAAGGCATGCGCTGAAGGAGTGGCTCTTTTTGATGAGATTAGAACCATTAAGGAGAGGCCTATGGATTTGCATTTAAACAATGGAAAGAGTACCTTTAGGGCAAGAACCACCCAACTAAGCTTCCTGGTGAAAGGAAAAAGCCTAAGGAGTTTTCGCCTAGAAAACTGCAATCCACAAAAGTTGCTGGTAATGTGAAGTGGGCCAGGTTCCATTCCAGACTGACAGCAAACTTGGCAGTGCCCTTCACATGGTGATGGTTGTAGAGGCATGAAAGATGCAACAGTTAAGAGGTCATTGGTTCTTCCTCTGTGGTTTCAGAGAGCTGCTGAGACCAGGCGGTGTGCAGAGAAGAAGGCCCTAACAGTATGTGAAGTTGTGACGGTGAAGCCTGGTTGTCACGTGGAGACTCCTAAACATTGGAGATGCTAGAGATATCTGTCAAGGAGAGATGTATACAAGAAATGGTACCAGCCCCAAAGAGATAGAGCAAAGCTGGAGGGGCTGAGCCATCCTAAGCCCTTTGGAACTAAAGTCCCAGAAGCTGGACATGGAGCTCCTGGATTTGGTGTCTGCCCTGCTAGGTTTCAGTCCTGTTTTGGTCCAGTTATTCCTCAATATGTCTCTTTTCCTTTTTATTTTTTTGTCTTTTTGAGACAGTCACCTCATAGCCACAGCTGGCCTGGAACTCACTATGTAGACCAGGCTGGTTTGAAGTCACAGAGATCTGCCTGCCTCTGCCTGGGATTAAAGGCGTGTGCCACCTGGCATCTATTCCTCCTCCTCCATTGTATGTTGGAACTATGTAATTTGCCTTTGACTTTACAGGAGCTTACAGTTAAGAGATTGACTTGAATCTCAGAAGATACTTTGGACTCTGGACTTTTGAATACTATTGAGATTGGTAAAGTCTATGGGGACTTTTGAAGGTGAAATAAACACATTTCATATTTATATAGCCATAAGCCTATTACCCCACAGTGGCATGCGGTGGTTTGAATGACAATGTTCTCCCATAATCCTATGGACATTTTGTCCCCAGTTGGTGGAGCTGTTTTGGGAGAGAAAGCATGTCACTGGGGGTGGGCTTAGAGAGCTCTTAAGCTTTGCTGGATTTCCAGACTCTCTCTGCTTCCTGTGCCTGCTGGAAGATGTGATCATTTGGCTTTCTGCTCTGGCCACCTCTGCCACCATGCCTTATCACAACAACAGAAAAGTAACTAATACAAGCATCATGGATAGAGAAGTATGTGTGATGGGAAGGCCTCAGGAGGTAAGGTATGCAGATATATAACCTAATTCTACTTATTTCATTACTTCTTTAAACTGTGTAGTAGGAATTGTGGAATGCAGTACCTAGTCATGTGATACTCCTCAATCAGTGTGCATTAAGATGTTATCATAGGGGAATAAAAGGACATTGATAAAGTGCAGAGGCTAAGACTGCAGAGTGCTTGTCCCTGAGTAGAACACCTATATCAAACCTCTGCCACCCAAGGCTTGGGGACTATTTTGGAAGAGGGAATGGAAAGATTGTAAGAGCCAGAGGTGGTGGATAACCACAAGGAAACAGTTTTCCAGACATCTGGTCAGTTGCTCATATGAACTCACAGCCATGGTAACAGCACTCACAAGACCCATGCAAACAAGCCAGACAAAATCCCAGCATAGAAGTGGGGAAGAAGCCCCAGGAGCTCAGAAACTGTTGGCATTCAATAGCTTCTGGAAGAGGGAGAGTCAGTTCTCTTTAAGGATGTGACATTGCATAGGTTTATCAGGCTCCAGTGGATGGGTCCACACTGAAGGGCATTTAGGGACACAAAATTGACTGATAGGCTTTAATATATGTGAGAGAGTACATGTAATGGGGGGATTAAAAGGGGTGCATATAGGGGATGCAGTCTAAATATGGTCAAAATATTTTGTATGAAATTCACAAATTTCAATAATTTTTTAAAAAAAAAGATGTTATGGGGAATAAAATGATATAGAGAAATCCAATTCCTTTTTCTCAGAAAGTTAGGCAACTCATGTTTGAAGACTCCTACTAAGAATTTTTTTTTTTTTTTTTTTTTTTTTTTTTTTTGGTCTTTTTGAGACAGGGTCTCCCTGTAGCCCCAGCTGTCCTGGAACTCACTGTGTAGACCAGGCTGGCCTTGAACTCACAGAGATCCACCTGCCTCTGCCTCCCAAGTGCTGGGATTAAAGGCCTGCGCCACATGCACAGCAAAGACTACTTTCTACAATTGCTTTACTTTTTTAAAAAAATATTATTTTTATTTGATGTGTATGAGTGTTATGCCTGCATGTAAGTGAGTGCACCCATGTAGTGCAGTGCTCCCGGAGGACAGAAGAGGCTGTCGGATCCCCTAAACTGGAGTTACAGACAGTTGTTAGCTGCCATGTGGCTTGGATTCGAACCCAGGTTTCTGCAAGAACAGTCAGTGTTCTTAACCGCTGAGCCATCTCTCCAGCCCCCTATAATTGATTTACTCTTAACGACTACCTACAGGGTACGTATTGCTTTCCCCAGTTTTTACGGTATAATACTGAAGTCTAAGGGTTGTAGTAAACCACTCATCTAAGTAGGAAGTGGCTAGCAGTCTGCTTGTCTACCAAGTCTGTTGAATCAGTGTTTTACGATGGTTTAATTCTCCCTTCTCTGTCAGGCAGTCCAAGGCATTTTACAACTTAGAAAGTCTTGGGGAAGGTAAGCCGTTTGGCCTTTTCTGGGTGTCTTGTAAATAGCCGTTGCGGACCCTGAACACATCTTTTCTGACCTAACATCCTTGTTGCTCTGGCCGTGGGACCCCTTAGGCTGCCCCTGCCTCAGCTTCTTCTGGGGGTTAGAGGATCCCGCAGGCCTTCTTTCTTCACCTAGCTGCCTTTCCAGCGGCTGCCGCCAGGGGACCCCGCTGGATCTCCTGGACGCGGAGGAGCCCACGCGGGCTGCGCGGCGCGCTGGGTGCACGTTGGGCCGAGTCCAAGCCCCGGCGGCTGCATCTGGAGTCGCTCGCTGACCACCAGGGCCTCGGGTGGAGCGGCAAGCGAGGCGCTCGGGCCGTGTTCTCCCAACCGCAGCTGCCGCCGCTGACCGGGTGAAGGAAGTCAGCCGGGTCCGGGGTGAAGAGTGAAACCCAGGGTAAGAAACCCCTCCAGCGAGGGAGGCGGCGCCGTCCCGCAGCTCCCGGCGGCGGCTTGCACCCTGGCGGGCCGAGGTGCCGGGTGCACCTGGGGCGGATCAACCGCGGGGCTGGAGGTGGCAGACCCCGCTCCCCAGCCCTCATCCGCCGGCTTCCGGGATTTGGAGGCTGGTTTCGACCGGTGCCCGCGCCTGGGCTTCTCGCCGGCTCCGGGTGCGCACTTTCCGGGCAGGAACGGAGGTCCAGTTCCCACCCAGGGACCCTTGGCCTGATCTTGAAAGAGTACAATCAGAGCCTCTTTTCCGGGTGCGCACCTCACCCGAACCCACTCGGAATCGCAGCTGCTCGCGGCGTGCGCCATGGGAGGACAAACTTTTACCAAGTGCGTCCGGGCACCGGGACGCGTCGGGGCGCCGGGGTCTCGGCGGAGGCTGGCGCGGGGCGGCGTGGGCTGCTGCGCCCGTGTCGGGTTGCCCCCGAGGCTATGGATGCTGCGTGGAGGGAGGGTGTAAACAAAGTGCAAATCTTGCTGAATATTTGGACCCGCAACTGTCAAACATCTGGAACCGCAGCCCCTCCCTTCCCTGCACCCGAGAAAGTGAAAACCCTGAAACTTTTCTTTGATTCCCCTGCGTTCCTTTTGCTTTCCGGGCTGCGGTGGAGAGTGAGACTCCCGCCGCCTGGCGCGCAGCTTAGACTAAACCGCTCGGACCCGTCCCCGCTGCCTTGGCGACCCTTCGGTAAGTCTCCGCGGCGGGGACCGCGCGACCGAGCCCAGCGGGGTGGCCCGGATGAATGGCCTTTTGTTCCCCCGCAGTCCCCCCATTGCTCCTTCCACCCTGGCGGGGCTCCCGGGGAAGGGGAAGGCGCCTCCCCTGCTCTCGGGCCTGCGCGCCGGCCTTGGTGCGGGCTTGAGTCCGGGGCGCGGGGTACGAAAGCAGGGGATGGGGACCCCGGGCTGCCCCGCCCGAGCCTCGCGGTTAGAGGGCGGAGGGAAAGTTGCTAGTGACCCCGCCTTCGCGGCTGCCTGTGGCCCCGGGCGCATTTTCAGCTCTCACCCCCGCGCTGCCCGGGACGCAGATCGCACACGTTGTCACGGTCGGGTGAGTGGGACAAGGCTGTGTGTCCACTCCGGAAATCTAGCTCTGCGGGAGGGTCGTCAGGACCTGTGGCCAGCTGGAGGCGGGCGCCGGCCGGCGGACGGGGCTGGACGCCCCTGTTCGCCGAGAAGTGAAGTTTAGGGCTTTGCAGTTTCCCACGGGCGGTGGGGCGGGTGACTCTCCGTGGGAAGAGTGGAGACACAGATAACAGAGACGATCTGGAGACTGCTGGGACCTGAGGGTGACCTGACTCACTGTGGAATGGAGGTGGACTTCTGACTTCGTCTAGGGCTCCAAGTTTAAACCGTAAACCCTCCCTGCAGTGTAGGAAAAGCAGGCCGGGAGCACGCGGTTAACCAGAAGCTGGCGCTGCGTGTTCGCTTCCAAACAGGTGGTTTGGGATAGCCCAGAGTTCTCCTGTCCCGGACGCCTGTTAGATGGTAGGCGATCCTGTTTCCTTGAGCAAGTTTGGCGCTTGCATGTTGATCTGTTAACGAGTGTGGGTTATTCATTAAGGAATCTGGGCAAAAGCAAAGTTGCCCGGAACGCGAATGGTTTCCCCAGAAACCATCCCCTTCTTCCAAGGGGATACAATAACATGCTTTTTTGGTCCTCCAAGCTTTGATATTCCCACCCACCTCAACTCAGGGGAGGCTTATCTGGGGACACCTGTGACCTGTGTACCAATTCAACACCCCCACCTGCTGGGGATGGGCCGTGTGCATGCTTAAACAAGTGCTCTACCACGAGCTACCCCCAGCCCTCATTCAAACATTTTAAGTAGAAACTGTTCTGGGCACAAGTCTAGTTTGCTCTTTACTAAAGAGAACTTTTGAGCTTCCACTTAACAAGGAAGAGGTTGTTTGTTCAGGAAAAGAAATACAGAGAACTTTGTCTCCAGAGACTTCTAGACGGTACCAATGGGGCTGTCAAAAGGAAGCAAAATCTCTGTTGGGTGCCCAAAGTCACTTTCTAAGCTTCCCATTATGAAAATGACCCCCAAGATAGATTTTTTTTTAAAATTTAACAGCAGCAAAGTAATAAACAGGACCTGCTGAAGAAGACCTGCCTAGGATCTCTTTGCTCAGAAAGGACCAAAAGGCATCATTAAAAAAGTCATGCTTGGCCCAGCAATGCCAGGAAAGAAATCATAGTAATTATAGAGGAAGATAAGGTTTTTTTTTTTTTGTTTTTTTTTTAGTTTTAGAATGAAAAAACTTCAAAAAATTATTGAACGTAAAGAGAATAACAAAGCTAGGCGCCAGCAAACCGCTTGCTGCCCGTTATCCATCTCCTTGGAGTACATTTCTGGAGACGTGGAGGACTGATACAATTTTTCGGCTGTACAAGACTGCCATTTTGCCTAGTAAGAACAGGCCAGTTTATCCTGTCCCCAGCGGTGTTACCATTGTTTCCCATCTCTGCCACGTTAATGGAGAGGAATATTTTATTCTTGCCCTATTTTTGCATTGCAATCAAAGGTGAGAATAAAATGTTTCCTGCTGTCTATCATTTCTTTGCTTATGTTGTCAGTTTGCGTTCTTTTCCACGGGATTGTGCCCCTCTTCCCCCTCTTTTTTTTGAGACAGGGTCTCCCTGTAGCCCCAGCTGGTCTGGAACATACTATGTAGACCAGGCTGACCTGGATCTCATAGAGATCCACCTGACTTTGCCTCCAGAGGGCCGAGGCTAAAGGTGCATGCCACGGCACTTGGCTCTCCCTTTCTTTTGATTAGATGTGATCTTTAAAGAGCACTGTTCGAACCCCTGCCCTGCCCTAGCCATCCTCACACACATCTGTACTCATTGGAAGGTGCTTAGCTTTCTTGGCCAACGCTTTTCTCCTTCTCTTACTTGTCCTTCTTTCCTTACAGTGTTGGGATCAAATCCAGGGTGTCACACACTCTAGGCATGTGCTCTACCACTGAACTACATGCCCATCCACTTAGCCAATTCTCTTCCCTTGTGTAGAGTTAACACATAGTAGGATAGCACCTAAAGTGAGCTACAGTAACTGCAGTCATCTCGGTAGAATTATTAGGGAGGTGAGGTAAAGGTATTAGAGAAATTTATGGAAAGTGCTGTGTAAATTTTCTGCTTAGTAGTTTGCATGCTCCAGCTCCCCCTACCCCCATCCCTGCCTTCCAGTCTAAAACAACTCTATTGATGAGCTGTTTTGACCAAATTTACTCATTTTATTGTCTGATTCTTTTGCTGGTAACCTAAATGCCATAATCCACAACTTGTTGTTTTAAACGTTTCTTCCTACCTTTTCACTGAAATGTCTTACTCTTACCATAAGACTTTCTTTTTTGGGCTATATTGTTTGGAATCCTGAACTTGGAACAGTTTTGAATCTGAAGAATTTAGCAGTGTGTTGGTGATAGTCTGAGCAAGAGAGGCCTTCCAAGGGCATTTCAGTAGCACCAATCTCTAAGCTCCTGTTGAAGAGACAGGATTCTAAAATAGGGATTATTACTATTTTATTATTATTAATTATTACTAATAACTAAGTGGTGAGTAAAAATTGATGAAGGACTGTACAAGGAGAGTTAGATAAATAATCTAGGTAATCAGGATACTTTAAAAAGATAAAAGCTAGGACTGGAGAGATGGCTCAGTGGTTAGGAGCACTGGCTGCTCTTACAGAGGACCTGGGTTTGAATCCCAGCACTCACATGGCAGCTAACAACTGTCCAGTTCCAGGGAATCTGACGTCCTCTTCTGACCTCCACAGGCAATGCATGACATGGGTACACTTACATATATGCAAGCAAAACACTCATATACATAAAATAAAAATAATAAATAAAGTATATATATCATATTTTTTGGTCTTATTAAGACAGGGTCTCCCTGTAGCCTCAACTGGCCAGGAGCTCACTATGTAGACCAGGCTGGCCTTGAACTCACTCACCATGATCGGCCTGCCTCTGCCTCCCGAGTGCTCTCATTAAAGTTGTGTGCCGTGTACCACCAGGCCCGGCCAAATAAAATATTTTTTTAAAAAAGATAAAAGCCATTACAGCCGGGCATGGTGGTGCACGCCTTTAATCCCAGCACTCGGGAGGCAGAGGCAGGCAGATTTCTGTGAGTCCAAGGCCAGCCTGGTCTACATAGTGAGTTCCAGGACAGCTGGGGCTACAGGGAGACTCTGTCTCAAAAAAAGACCAAAAAAAAAAAAAAAAAAAAAAAAAAAAAAAAAAAAAAGCCATCACAAATGTCAAGTATTATTAGAATGCCTAATTTACTTAACTGACAGTAAAACATTTTCTAACTGGGAAAATCAAATGCAATTTAAAATTCTTTCCATAATATAACTTTAGACATTCATTTTAGTTGCACACACACAAAAGAAAACCACCCACAATGAAAGACTGATGCTATAATTTCCCAAGACTTTACATTTTTCTTCCCACTATGGTGCTGCGGCTCCAACCCAAGTGTCTCATGTGCTAGGCAAGTAGCCCTACCCTTGAGCTACATCCACAGCCCTTTCTATGCCTTCAGATGTAAGAATCAGACAGTATACACTAGACGTGATGAGTGTGCTGCATTAGAATCACAGGCTCCCAAGTGTTAAGTAGGAGCTTTATGGTCATCTAATACAACTATCTGTCCAAATGTCACTGTGGATCCTGACTCTTAAAGCAGTCACATACCATTCTTCAAACTGCATAGTTTCAAAGAAACAAGCTGACAACCAAATAGGCCAGAAGTCTCAACATTTTTCCCTCTGAGAAGGAGGTGGTAGAAGGGAAAAGGTTTTTATTTTACAGAGTGGACATAGATTCTTAATGTGATGAACTTTTATAGACTAGAAAACTTGGCAGCTAGAAAGATGATTCATTGAAATGTGTCCTTTTCAAATCTTCTTTGTTCCGTATCTGTTAACCACC